TTTCCCTACTAATTTGCCACACTAGTCAAATCTCACACATTTAAACAAAACAAACCCCACTCAATAGGCCCCAACAAAAAAACAGGTAGCTTGAATAAGCCCCACACCCCTTAACTTTCTGTGGTGCAGACATTACTGCTGTACTGACCGGCTTGGCAGCTGGCACAGCTAAGGTGCTTGTTGGAGGGAGCTAAGGGGAAACGGTAGAATGTCTGGGATGTCTGGAACACCAGGGAGTACTTGCTGGGAAGGGAGGTTTGAGACTACAGTGGGGCAGGAGGACAAGTGCAGGATATTACTGGCGCATGTAGCCGCTCAGAGCCAGCTCTTAGCAACAGTTTTCAACTTGGCATAAGGTAGCATTTCAACTGCCAGTTCTGGTTTGTGAAAATGCCATCTAGGTGTAACTGGCAGCTGCTGTCATGGAATTGCAGCTGGAGCTGTCACAGTTGCAGTTGTGCTAGTTATGCCAAAGCATGGGTAACATGGGATTAAATGAAATCCTACATAATCAATCAGACCGGAAACGAGTTTCCAGTCACTTCGTGATCTTTCTTACTCTCCATAGAGTAGTATGTTAGCCTGATTCAGAGAAAGTTGTACTGGTGAGAGATGTTCATCCTCACCTCTGTAAGGGAGTAAATTTTTAAGTTAAAGAGCAGGCTGGCTTTGACCTTTGCCTATGGAGAGCCATGTTTTCTTTCTAATTGCTATGGACAAAAGTCTGTTTTCTGTTCAGTTACTTATTAGCCTGAACAATGCAAAGTCCAACATGTGCTGTCTCCACGTGTTACTTACGCCTGCTGAGCTACTATCTTAGTCTCCTTTATGCTAGCTACCACAAGATTTAAGACTGATGTATCTAAAATAGTATGTAAACGGAATAATTGTAAAGGCATTATTAATAACTGACATAACTGCTCCCACAAAGACTTGGCTAACTTGTGAAGGCTGTTCTACCCTGCTCAACCTGCACAGCTGCCTGAACATCACTGCAGGGCAGTGGGGTGGAGAACAAAAATGAAAGAGAGGTTCTGTCCCACAGCCAGCACAGCTAGGATTTAATAACTGCTGCCGTCCTAAAAATGCATAGACTAGCATTAATGGTAATGGTAGCATTTTAGTGAAATGGAGTCACTGTTAAGTGATGTGTGGAGCTTGATGTTAGTTGGAGAGACTCGCTCTGCAGAGCTGTGGCTGCTTTTCTAGCCCACCTTCACAAAGCAAAAGCAATGCACATTGCTTGCTTGCTGCTATAGAGGAGCCCGTGTCTCCACGCCCCCTTTTTTTCTTTGGCTCCCAAGTACCATGAATGTTGTTGCTCAAAGCAAGCACGGTTCCTTCTTGCTGTGACCTTGGATTTCTTACACCTGCAGTCAAGAGCGATGTGCACACTTGCTATCCACCTAAGCTGTGGTGGGGCAGTCCAACATTTGTGCACTTCATGCCTGCAGGCAGAAGGGGCGTGCTGTAGGTGGTGGTGGTGTTTCGGGAAGCAGTCTCCCTTTCTATAGATGGGGAGAGATCCACAAGTGGATGCAGTAGTGACAGTGAGGATGCTTTTGAGGGGTGGCTGGTACTAACAGCTTTAAATTGTTCTGGTTGAAATAACGTGTCCCGGGTTGTCCATCAGAGTGAAAACCATTTCAGCTAGCATGGCTTTGTGCTGGCGAGGTGGAGGCCGTGCTGCTGTGCCCAGATACACTCAGCTGCCCCTCCCGAGGAGGTGTCTGGATGTTTGAGTTGTTGAGACCAAACACAGACAGAAGGCTGTGGTCTGGGCTTGCTTGTGTGTTCCTACTGTACGTCTATTTGCAGGCTTTGTTTTCCTTTTTCTGAGCTTATATTCTTAGCAGGGGAGGGGCTGCCGATGCCTCTTCCAGGTGATGACAAGAAAGCATGTGGTAAACGTATCTGACAAGTCAGAATCTCTTCAACAGTGCTTCACCAGCACTCAGACCACTGCACATGGTCATTTGGGTCTTGTTACTTCCCTGCCGAGCAGAGAGGATGTTTGAGCTGGCACGACCTGCCTTGCCAACGGTCTGAGCTCACAGGGTCGCCCCTGGCAAACAAAACCTAATGTGCAGCTGGTGGTGCTGCTGGGTGCTGTTTTGCTGGCGGGAGGGTGGAGGTGGTGTGGGGTGTGTGGAGACAATGAGAGCTCTGTCTTCACTATGCTGTTATTGTTGGCTTTGGGGTTTTTAACCCTTTTCTATCTGCGTTGTCTCCCTGGGGCCCAGCTTTGTCTTGTCCCTGCCAGCAGTGGGGTCTTTTCAACTGTGTGAAGTTTTAAAAAGCAGTGATTCACGTTCTCAGCTCTGAAGGGAGATGTGCTGCTCCGTTCCACACTCTCCTCCAGCCTGTGCCGTGTGGAGGAGGCTCCCGCAAGCCAGGAGGGACCAGCAGGGCACAACTGCCCGCCATCTGCTGCGAGAAACGGGAGATGGGGGAGGCAGAGGCCACCACCAGACACCCAAGTAAGCTGTTAGACGCTGGGTGGCGGTGTGACAGTCCCTCTGGCAGGGCGCTAGCTCGCTCTCCAGGCAAACCTGTGTTACATCCTTGTGACCTGGAGCAGGCGGCTCAGAGCGGTTGCAGGCGTGACCTGACTTAACCTATTTTGGCATCTGGAGTTTGTTAACGGTAACAACTGCTGAGAGGAATTTGACAGTTCACTGTCAGACTACAGCAGATGCTGCCGTTGCCAAATATTTTGTACTGCATCATAAAAAAAATGACTATGCTCCTCTTCAGTGAGCTACAGCGGGGAGCGATTGAGCTACAGCAGGGAGCGATCGAAGCCCCTGAGGAATGATGGACTTGCCTGGCTAGCCTGTTCCCATAGTAATAAATTGGATGAGAACTGGTATCTGCATGAGAAACCTACACCTCCAGAGCTTTTGTAGTTCCTGACTCCAACGTCAAACCCTGCACGATGGGTGTTTTCCCAGCAGTGCTGCCAGCCTTCCCTGCAGGAGCTTGGCCAGGGTGATAAAGCGTGTAGCCCTGGACAAAGCAGGGCTTGTCTGTTTGCAGCGTGGGGCCGGGGCGGGGAGGGACAGGGGAAATGCCAGGCACGGTTTGGGCTCTTCCGTTCTGACCCTGACGCAAGAGCAAGCTGAGTTAGCTGGAACGAGCCCCGCTTTGCTGATGGGTGTTTGTACAGTATGAAAGCATTTAGTGACTTAGCGAGGAGGGCTCAGACCCTGCAGCGGCCTTGGGGTGCAGCACACGTGCATGGCTCCAGCAAGGCAAGCCCCGGGGCAGCCTGCTGAGACGATGGGCAGCACGTAGTGCAGTGCTGGGAGCAGCCACAGCGCCACGGCATGCATGCGCCGACAGCGTGGAGCAGCCAGGCTTTCCCCAGGGATGAGCACGGATGAGGAGGATGCTGACTGAGCTACGCCATCCTCCTCGCCACTGCCCGTAGAAGGAGCCTGATTTGATGAGCTAAATTTAGCTGGGTTTGGGAATTAGTGCCTTCCCCAACCTGCCAAAAAGCTGCACAGTTGATCTGGACAGTGGGAGGCTTACCATCTTGGTGGTGAGTCAGTTTTACCTCAGGTGGGGTATTGTGGGTTGGTGTGGTGTTGGGTTTTTCCCCTGGAGGCAGCTGTGCTGTGGTGTGAGTCACTGGGAAGTCAAGGAAACACGGTGCAGCAGTAAAGCATTGCTGGAGATGGCCAGGACTTTCTAGGACGACAGGCACCTGACTCCCTCCAGCTGTTGCAGGTACACCCACTGACCCCAGGGGTGGAGGTGGCCCTGTGGCTACCAAAGGGAGCCTGTGTGCAACTACAAACTTCTGTTTTCCATCTCTGTCAATTTGTTTTAAAGCAAAGTTGACAACATGTCTTGGAAACCATTTATTTACAGAACAGCCAGCATCTCATTCAGGGGTGTCAGCAGAGCAGTAACCTCGCTGCAGACCACCTCTGCTATACCAGGGCGGAGGTGCTGCTGCTGGGGCACCACCAGCCCCTCATCCAGCACGCGTGGGGCATGTGCTCTCTCCTACATCAAGCCCCAGGATAGCCTCCCACAGCCATGCAGGTTGGGAGGCACGGAACAGAGAGACGCCTCTGGCCACCACACCAGGTCTTGCACAGAGTGCCCCAACTGTCTGCAGATGGAAACGATGATGGGCACGGGGTCTGCCTTGGGCTGGATGAGGAGGTGTCTGGTGGCAAGGCTCACCCTCAGCAGCCTGCACCCGGTCCCGAACCTGCAGTGTGGGCAGGGGGAGGCAGCACGGAATGGACAGGGACTATAACCATTCAAACCCTCCTTCCCTGCTCCAGGATGCCCTGGTTTCCAGCAAGCGTCAAAGCTTGTGACCATGGGAGCCGAGGGGCACCTGGGTGAGGTGGCAATGGGAAGCATGGACGTGCCCGCTCCCATCACCACAAAGCCGTGCAGGATGCAGAGGAGACAGGCCAGCAGGCCTGTGGCTTGGCTGTGCCCACCTGCCCCTCGCTGGTGCCAGCGGGCAGCTCCTGACAGCAGCCGGGCAGCACGTGAGGCCATCCTGACTCAGCTTCCTAACCCCCAACCGCTGGTCATGGTGCACAGCCGTGCACCGGGCACCCCTCCTGCTGCCCTGGGAGCCCG